TGCTGGGGGGGGGGGGGTGCTGCTAGCAAATGGGGTCCTGTGCCCCCAGACCAAGCATGTTCAGCCCTTGCTCTGCTGTCGCTTTCTGGACAGCGGCCCAATGGCTTATGTCACTAACACCTCTGTGCACTTCGAGAGGCTGGTTACCACCGTGTCCCATATTGTCTTTTGAAATTCAGCATCAGCAGAATGATGGATGGTCATTGTTTGTCCAGCTTTGTCCAACTAAACCAACACTCACTTACATGAGATTCTCACTGAACTATAAGGCCTCTTCTTTGACATTCATTCCTGTCCTGGTAACAGCTGCTGTCACTAACTCTGATAGCTGCAGACTGTAAGGAGATGCTCCGGCCTTCCCCCTTGAAACCCATCGGTAACTCATCTTTCTTCTTTCCCAGAGGGCGGGAGTTTGACCCCAGTGCGAGATAGTCCGTGCACCCCCAGGCTTCGTTCTGTGAGTTCCTATGGAAACATACGTGCCGTCACCACAGCCAGGAGCCTGAACAAATCTCTTCAGAACCTGAGCTTGACAGAAGAATGTAAGATGCTGGAAATCTGGTGCTTGGGTTGGGAGTTTGGGTTTTATTTTGTGAAACTCAAGTCTTTGCCTCCACAAGTGTTGCTTTGCCCCTGTTCTTCTCTCCATAAGCCTGTGCCCTGAAGTACTGCCTGCCAGCATGGTCAGCGACAACTCAAGTTGTCCTGGAGTCTAGAGTCATCCCCCCAGACATAGCAGAGAAGGTGTAGTTCAGTCCCCAGAGTAGCCGGTGGGCACTTTACAGACACAGGGAGAAGATCCAGCCCAGCTAGAGACAATGACTGCTCAGGGCCCTATCCCCTTCCCTGATCTCCCAGTGACCTTTTGTCTCAGGATGGGGAGATCAGAGAAGATCTGTGTGTATGTATGTGTGTGCCCTTGTGTGTATGCATGGATGTGGAAAGCTTTCCTTTTTAGAAGAACGTGCTCTCTTCAGTCATGCCATTGACTGTAAGACCAAAAGGAGAGTTCTCGAGGTACCTCACTGACCCTTCTCTTGACGTGTCTTGGGCAGCTGGCAGCTCAGTGGCATTCTCTCCTGGGAACCTCAGCACCAGCAGCAGTGCCAGCAGCACCCTGGGCAGTCCAGAAAACGAGGAGTACATCCTGTCCTTCGAGACCATCGACAAGATGCGCCGTGTCAGTTCCTACTCCTCCCTCAACTCCCTCATAGGTGAGGTGCTACTATCACTGACAATTCTGTCTGCTTTGGAATGGCTCTGAGGGTCTTCTCCCCACCCAGAGCAGCAGAAACTTTTGTCTGAGTCAGATAAGTGGGTGTCAAAACTACCTGTTGAGGGCAACTCCTTTGGGTCCTCTCTCACTGTGGTAGCTTTTCTGACCTCTCAATAAATCCTGCTTTCTCACTTTTAAAAACAAAAAGTACCTGTTGAAAAAGAAGAATAAAAATCAACTGGAATATGAGAAAGTGAGAAGAACATTTTGCTATGGCAAGCAGGAAAGTTGAAATCACTTATATTTTGATGTGGTGATATTTTACAGGCCATTCCAGAGCCATCTGAGTTGGTCAACTTGGTCTTGGAGGAAGAATGCTAGAACCTTCCATCTTCCTTTGGTAGACAGATTTGAGTTCTTCATGTGTGCTAAATGCCCAGCAATAGAGAACAGTTGTTCTCAATTGAGGTGATTTTGCCCAAAAGAAGACCTTTTGGTTGTCACAGCTAGGGCACATTGGGGTGTTCCAGGCATCAATGGGTAAGGTCAGGGAGGCTGCTCCACATCGTCCCATAACAGGATGGCCCCACAGGCCCTCAGTGATGTGAGGTCGGGGGAGCCCTGCAGGAGGAAACTGGGAGGGTCTCATATCCTCCTAAGTGCCCTGGCTGCACTCCCCTGCAGAATCATCACTGAGTTTCACATCCACCCATCCCAGCAGGTTGATACTTCACTGCCTAAACATTGGAATTTGAGTTAAAGTCTGGTTTCTCTTGTTCTGCCATGAATGGTACCTCCCCAGGTCCTACTGCAAGGATTCCTGATGTAAAACAGAGGAAACAGGAATTCACCATATTTTCTTATTGTGTCATTATGTTCACCTTCATACTGCTGGTAACAGATGCAGAACTTAACCAGGTAAACCTCCTCTTCTTTTATCTGACCAACGAGAGTGGTTTACAGGTCCCATCTGAATTTTTAAAATTAATAAGTATCTTAGACATGCAATAATTTATAGAGGCTTATATAAGTAACCTCTATGTGTTTGTTATGTTCTCAACTTAAGGAATTACAAATAGAATTCAAGGGCTAAGTGTGGTGTCTCATTCCTGTAATCTCAGCAGTTTGAAAGACAGAGGAGGGAGGATTGCTTGAGCTCAAGTGATCCAGACTAGCCCAGGCAACATAGAGAAACCTCATCTCTACAAAAAAAAAAATCAAAAAATTAACCAAGTGTGGTGGCATATTCCTGTAGTCCCAGCTACTTAAAAAGCTGAGGTGGAAGGATCACCTGAGCCTAGGAAGTCAAAGCTGCAGTGAGCTGTTATTGTGCCACTATACCCTAGCCTGGGTGACAGGGAGACCCCCCCAACTCAAACAAATAAATAGATAATAACGTTCAAGCCCCATGCCCCCTCTTCAGTCCCATTCCCTCAGTGACATTACACCTTTCTTCTCTGTCTGTGAGCCGCTAGCAGACATGTGATGCCCTCTTAGAGATTTTTAACTTCTGTTAGTGCCATCCTACATAATCTGTGGTCTCATGAAGCCTGTTTCTTTCGCCCTGCTTGATGTTTACATTTATCTTTAGTGGTCATCTAAGTTTTATTCATTCACTTTCACAATCTGCCACAACTTAATCATCCATTCCCCTATTGATGGATAGTAAGGCTAGTTTTAATTTCTTCTTTTTTTTTCCTCCTTCTTCCTTTTTGAGTCAGAGCCTCACTCTGTCACCCAGGCTGGAGTGCAGTGGCACATTTATAGCCACTGCAGCCTGCTGGGCTCAGATGATCCTTCCACTTCAGCCTTCCAAGTAGCTGGAACTACAGGTATACCCAACCACATCCAGCTAATTTTTTTTTAATTTATTGTAGAGAGAGGTCTCGCCAAGTTGCCCAGGCTGGTCTCAAACCCATGGGTTCAGGCAGTCCTCTTGCCTGAGCCTCCCAAAGTTCTGGGGTTACAGGCATGAGTCACCACGCCCAGCTTCTCCTTTTTTAAATAAACAAACTCAGAATTCAGGCTCCTGCCACCACAGAGCCCCACATTCAGCACTCCCCCTCACTCACTACACCCGGCTCTGCTGGGACCCCGGCCCTCAGCCCACCCCAGCCTGCCTCTGAGCCTCAGCACCTATCTGGGAGACTCTTCTCTCAAGAGTGTCATGGCCTTTCCCCTCAGCTCATTCAGAATTCCAATCCAGTGTCTTCTTAGAAGAAACCTTCCTAGTCCCATGTCTCTGATCTGGAATAGCTGTTGTCTGATTCTCTATCCCCTTTTCCTGCATTATTTTTCTCCTGAGAACTTCCTACCTCCTGACTTACTATTTATTTACTTATTTATCTGCTTTGCTCTTTCTCTATCTCTCACCTGGAATGTAAGAGCCATGAATGCAGGAACTTGTCTTTATTACTATATCCCCCTATACTGCCCACACCCAGTGCTAGTATGCAGTAGGTGCTCAATAAACATACATGGGCATGTGCACATGTGTGGTGAGTGTGATTCAGCATGAACACACATGTGTCTCTCACAGTCTCACCTGGACTGAGGCTGCTACATGAAAAGTACGTGCACCTTCAGTTTCCCTAGATGCCTCCAAAGGGCCCTCCCCACAGATGTGGTGGCTTCTGTTCTCATGAGGATCTGCCTCCGTGGTGCCACACACTACCCACACAGGCACAGGATCTCGGCAGACTTTTACTTGTCTGACAGGAGCAAGTGGTATCTCATTGTGGCATAAATTTTCATGTCCCTGATAGCAGTGAGATTAGGCTCGTGTGTACTGGTTTTTTGTGGTTCCACTCTATAAAGCACCTGTTAAATGCCTGACCAATTTGCCTTGTGTTGTCTTTCTGTTATTAACTCACAGGAGGTCATCACAATTCTGGGTGCTGAGGCCTGGTTGAGTATATTCCCTGGAAATACGCCTTCCAGTCTATGACTTTATTTATGTTGTCCTTGACACCATACAATTTTGATATGTTAATTTATCGTTTTCTTTTTAATTTATGCCTTCATGTCTTGAGTTTTTCTTTTTCTCAGTATCTCAAAGATATTTTCCTATATTTTTTCTAAAATGTACATTTTTCCTTTTTTATGTTTATATCTTAAATATATCTTGAACCAGATTTTGTCTGTGTGGTAAGGTTAGTAATCCAATTTTATTTTTTCCCTCATGCATCACCAGTCATCCCCAGAACCTTCATCAAATACGCTGTTGTCCAGTGATTTTCAGTGTCACTCCTGCCATAGGTCCTTAGGGTCTGTAGGGGTCCCCACTCTGCAGTGGTCTTGCTGTCCACAGCTAAACCAATACAACACATTGCAGTGAGTATAGCTATGGGACCAAGGCCTCAATTTGATTTTTCTTCAAAACTGTCTTGACTATTCTTAACCCTTTGCTCTGCTATATAAATTTCATAATCACATTTTCTGTTATTATGCCTTACTGGGATGTTGTTTGACTTGTGTTAATGGATAGGTTTGCCTGGAGAATTCATGTCTTTGCAATTCTGAGTCTTCCCGTCCCTGAGCAGGATATATTTTTCCATTTATTTAAGTCTTCTTTTATTTCTTTTAAGATAGCTTATAACTCTCTGCACAAAGATCATAGTCCTTTTATTTTATTCATACTACCTTACGATTTTTCTAATTTTTAAATAATATCTTTTTTAACTCTTTGTTGCTGGCAAAAAAGAATGAATGAGCAACCTTGTTTCATTCTGAGAGTAAAGGAAACATTTCTAACTTTTCACCATTAAATATAAGGTCTGCTGTAGATTTTTTGGTGGATACACTTTATCAGTTTATAGGAATTCCCTTCTATTCTAGTTGATTAAGAATTTTTTTCCATGAATGAGATTAATTTCATTGAATGTTTTTTCTACATTTCTTGATATGATCCTGTGTTTGGCTCTTTATTCATGTGGTGGATTACATGATTAGATTTTCTTGTTAAACCATCTTTACATTTCTGAGTAAACCCAACTAGGTAATTTCCTTTAATGTCATTGCATTAATCCCATAAGACATTTGTTAGTTTAGTATCTTCAATAATAATTTTATTTAGAATGTTCCCTATCTATATTTATGAGTGAATTTGGCCTATATTTGCACTGTCCTATATCTGTACTCTAGCTTGTACTGCCCTCATCTGGTTTAGATATTAAGTTTATGCTAGTCTCATAAAATTGGCTAGGGAGTATGTCCTCATTTTTCTGTCCTGGGACCATTTTTGTAAGACAAAGGTTATGTGTTCTTTGGGTATCTAGATAGAAATTACCTGTGAAACTGTCTAATCTAAGTAGGATTTTGTGGTGGTGAGTTTTAATCCCTTGTTGCATTTATTTAATGATCATAGGATTATTTACACTGTCTGTTTCTTCTTAAGCTAGCTTCAAAAAGTTCTGTTTTTCTAGGAAGTTATTCATTTCAGCTGAATTTTCACTTGTATTCCCTCGAAGCTGTTGGTGTGTTCTTAAGATTCTCTCATCTCTGCTTCTCTTTGTTTCTTTTCCTTGTACTCATCTCTCTTTAATTCTCAATGTGCTCTCCCTTTAGATATGTCCCCTTTTGTTCCGATTATTGTTTAAATGCCTTTTCTCCTTTTTCTTGATTAATCCCATAAGACACTTGTTAGTTTTAGTATCTTCAAGTTCTAACTTTTACTTTGTTGATTTACTTCATTATTATATCTTTATTTTATGCTCCATTTATTTCTTTTTTCATTTTCATTTTCCTCTATTTTCTTTGGGTTTACTATCCTGTCCTTCTTCAGTTCTGATGTTGAAAATAAAAGAGTTTGTGAGCTTTGAGTTTTTCCTCCTTCCTAATATAAATGGAGGAAATCTGAAGAGTTCCCTCTCATTACCTCTTGTCTATGTCCCTCAAGTTTTGATGATAGGATTTTCACTAATGTTAAGCTCTAAGTTATTTTCTTATTTTCATCATGAGTCCTCTTTCTTAGAGTTTAAACTCTCTCTATCACATGAT